TTCCTTCCTTCCTTCCTTCCTTCCTTCCTTCCTTCCTTCCTTCCTTCACATCATATATCCCTGGGGCCCATATTCAACAAACAATATAATCTTCCAAGGTCTTTGCATTCTCTTAATGTATGAAAATAGTCGCCTTCTTGACAAATATCAAACAACAATCTATGAACTTCTTCTGATTCCAGAATGTGCTTTTTAAGACTGAATATTATTCAAAGGATGTTCATACTTATAAAAATATGCATTTTGACATCCCTAATACATTCAACAGAGTCATCATCTTATAATAAGCCGAGTAACTCCAGCTTCTCTTCAGCCATTTTTTTAAACAGTAAAGAAAAATATTTTGAGTAGAATTTAACACAGTGCCAGCCCATCAGATGACTCTGTAATAAGTAAAAACTGGAGCTCTAACTCACCCCTTTGATTTTGGCCAGGGCATGGACAGTGTTCTTGATGGTGTCTGTAGGAATGATGTCTGAGTTGTCTCCTGTCAGATAATCCTTGCGTGATTTGAGTGTGATTTCAACGTTAGCATTCAGCTCAATAAGGTAGTGGTGTCTTCCCTGCCTTTTGATGAACATCACCTTCACAGCATTCTTGCCATAGCCCGTCCGAACAAACTCCACATTCTGTAACAATGGAAGAGACTTGCTGCTGTTTTCAGTCAGACATGTCCTTGTTATTTTCTAAAACTTAAATACTTTTTTGTTACGTGATGAAATAATAGAAAATCATACTAAAATGTTTGTCTTTTATTAATATTTGGCTCTATTATATCTCATTATGATGTTATGTTGCTTATTGGTTCTAAAAAGCTTCAGGTTCAGCCTTGAGGTCACTGACCCCAAACCATGGTTTTTATCTTCACTGCTAAATGTTTAGATTTAAGCCATTAAAATGATCATCTTTTGCTCTAAAAAAATGTATTACCTGATTTCCCACGTATGCCATGTTGCTATCTTCTCTTTCACCTTTGGCGTTTCATATCCTGTCTCTAACCACCTAAAAAGATCTTGGCAGCACAGACATATTTTGTTTAGTGGGTGTTGCCCTTTTTGCACTGACTCGATTGGGAGATCTAGACAGATTTCAACATATTTTACATATACGTAAAAGCACTCATCAACATTCACAGACAGACACACATTCAGAGGATGTTTTATTTTGTATTGATCTCCAGGGTGTTTTTTTAAACTGAACTCTCCCCTCTGAGATGTGGAAATGTTTATCCTTGTTCTCTGAGAACAGCTGGATGTGCAAGCTGAATATCAGCTAACATCTCATCTCCCAACTCCTATATTCTGATACTGTGATGAACACCTTAGACAGAACCTGAAGCTTTAACTGAATGGTGGAGAATTCATCAGCCAGCATAGCTGTTGGTTTCCATTAAGACAGGCTGGAGAAAGGCTTTGCTGACCAATAAGTCCTACTAATCTGTTTTTTGGGGCGTTAACCAGTGTAACAGATGCTACCCCACTAATATACCTGGTCTGATCTTTAGCAATTGATGGAAGATGTTTAGAGAGACTCTCCCGTCAAATAAAACTGTTTTGTTTTTTTTATGGTATATTTTACCCTTTAACCGCTGTATTTTTTACACAGGATCAGTTATTTCTTGTCATGTGACTGGGCTTCCTTCCTGTATTTTTTTGTGGCTTCCTTCTTTTCTGGCTTCCTTCCTTCCTTTGTGGCTTCCTTCGTGGCTTTTTTCATGGCTTCCTTCCTAGCTTCCTTCTTTTGTGGTGTCCTTCCTTCCTTCCTTCCTTCCTTCCTTCCTTCCTTCCTTCCTTCCTTCCTTCCTTCCTTCCTTCCTTCCTTCCTTCCTTCTGTAATAAATCCCTGAGGCACATTTTCAGTTGAATTACGGGAAAATTGGACAATGTGATCTTCCAAACTGTTTAACCATCTCCCCATTCATAGGAATAGTTTTAATAGTTAATTTTGACATCCCTAATCAATTCAACAGAGTCATCATCATTTTATCAAAAATATTTTTTTAAATGACAAATAACAATATTTTTCAAGGAGAATTTAAGACAATGCCAGCTCCCAAACTAAGGTTTTATCGGAGAACATTAAACATTCCCATTCTTCATCTTTCAAAGGTAACCACTTTTGTAGTAGCTGTGTGTGATGCAGCAACAGGAGATATTCTTTTGCACACTAGAAGCCATTAATAAATTATTAATCACAGTAATTCAAATATTTGATATTGTTAAACACCTATAAACTTAGAAACACAAGTAGGCAAAACGTTGACCTAGTTTTTTCCTTCTATCTTAGAAGCAAAAGGATTTTCTTGTACATTGCATTTGAACATGCAGCTGCATTTTATTCTGTCATTTTATATGATGTGTAATTATCTTTTTATTGAAGTGGTATTTCTGAAACAATATTATGATCAAATACTCTGTAATTGTGAACGTAAATGCTCTCAACAGTGATTTTATATGATTAACACACTCTAAAAATTGCCTATTTTGGACAAAAAACTAATTTTTACAGCACATTTGATTTAATTCAGTTTATTTATATAGAGGCAATTCATAACATGTCATGTCAAGGTACTTTACAGTGACAATATCCTCAGATTAGTTAAAGGTTCTGTCTAGGAAAACCACTTGATTGCATTTAAGTCATTGAGTTGCAGGAAAAGCTCCTACTGTATAAGCTTGCAGCGATGATTTCCGCTTGCATTTTGTCAGCAATCCATCATACAAAGCATGCTTGTAGTGACAGTGGACAGAAAAACTCCCTTTTAAAAGGCAGAAACCTCAAGCAGAACCAGGTTCAGTGTGAGCGGCCATCTGCCGAGGCCAACTGGGGTTCAAAGACACAGAAGCAGACATACAGAAAGAAGCACAAAGGCAAAAGGTAACTCTTGAACAGCTTCACAGGCGGCACCATCCAGGAAACACACAGACGGGCAAAAGGGCTCCAAGGCAGCTCCCATGTCAGACAATGAAAGAGAGCTTATACAGTTAGTCACAGTCAGAGAACCAGGACTACACTGAAAAACAGGCCAATCCTAAAACAGAAATGTCAATATTTCAATCCAGGATGGAGTCACAGCCCAACAGGAAAAAAACTAGATGAAGGTACTATCATGAGGAAAAAGCAGAGAGAAAATAAAGTAATGAGTGTAACTTATGAATACTAACACTGATATATACTTACAAATACTGCAGAATGGGAGAATAGAGATAAAATGAAGCAGAATGGGGAAAGGTGGTTTAACACTGTACTACAGATATATTAGGATGCATAACCATCCTCCATTTCTGCTGCTTGGTCATTTAACTGTACAGTAAGTTTGCAATAAAGCATAAATCCTGTTAACACATCTTTATTAATATAACATTACAGGAAAACCCCTTAACAGTATTATAGCTTATATCACAAAATAAGTAACTGTAAAGGAATTGATCGCAGTTTGGCTCTAAAGGTGACATTTTTCTTTCAGTCATAAATAAACACTGAAATATGCAGGTACCCAACGTCTAACAATTGAGTTTGCAAAACTGAGAATGTCAGTTCTAAATGCAGTTTATAGTTTCTGAGCCCAAATAAGTGAAGTGAAAACTGACAAATCTCTTTGTGTTTCACCGTGATGCATTTTCAACATGGTTCCTAAAAATAAAAGACAAACAGGTGTGAACATGTGAAACAATTTACATATGAGGAACAGTAATAAGATTAAAAGAAAGAATATATAAAAATAAACTTCACATGGTAGAATTTGTGTAGAAAATCCCACCCCTGTATGAAAAAGGGTGAATTGTAATGTTTTTTTTAATAGGGAACTTTCATTACCCCATCATGTGACCATGTTATTACTTCCTGTTTTGCATATCTATGCAGCTGTCTCTTTCTACCGTCATGCACCACACTGTCTCTTAATAGGCTTCAGATTTTCCCTTTATATTTAACATTTGGCCATGTCGTCTGCAGTCACAGTCTCGCTCAGGATGGCCTCACATTTCAGACCCTTCTTCCACATTACTGTCTTTTTATTGTGTTTCACGATGGGCAGAAGTCACATTTCCTGCAGAAATGAAGCCGATGAACCCGTTGACTGGTGAGTTGACATTACATACTGTATAACGGCACATTATGTATTCTACTAATAGTTTTATTTATCACCCTTTGATGATGTGGAAATTTCTGATGTTGTGAAATAGAACAACCTGTTAAATAATTTCCAATTCTTTCAGGTTTATTATCTACAAACTGCCAAAGTTTAAGATTGGAGAGGTTGGCAGTGGAGTGGACTACATGTACCTGGATTCAGCAGGTGGGGGTTGGCAGAGGAGTACATTTATGGTTAACACGACCCAAGGAGGAGCCCTGGTCAACACTCTGAATCAGCTGTACAAGGGAAAGGCCTACATGGTAAAGCAGTGCCATTCTTCTTCATTAGTGAATGTACTTGATCTTAAAATAATATCCCTAGTATTTGTAATTCCACGCACTTAAAGCCAATTTATTTAAGTGCATGGGTGTAGATTTTATGCAGCATTGGCATTTTAAATGAACTGATGTGAAAAAAAATGTTTAAAATAATTAGACGTAAAGGTCATATTTGATGTTAGATTGTCGTAGGTTATCAAGATCTTAATGTAATGTATGTTTGGGAGATAAATCTGACTCATCAGTTGTTAATTATTGCATAAAATCATAACTGTCATATTACTAAACTTGATAGAAAAAACCCACCTACCTATTTATATCTTCAGCTAATTATTTTTAACCCATATTGTTTATGCTCAAAGAATAAACAGAGGAGTAACTAGATGTATAGACTTCTATCTCATTGAAAAGGGGTATTAAGTTATTTTTAATGCTTTGAGAAACTAGTAAACCAAAATGAGAAGCTTTATTAAAAAATGCAAATAAAATGGGGTAGTGACAAATATTTACATGAATGGCCGCCCACCAAAATTACTTTAAGAGACTTTCAGCTAATGGAAGTGGTCATAAAAGAAACTAGAACAACACAGTGTTTAAGATTCAATGGAAACTATAAGATTGGGCAGAGTAACAATCTATTGCTTCTCAGTTTAAAAAAATTCTTTAACCCAGTCATCAGAAACACTGTTGGGGGCACAGCTTGTTGTTATGCTGAGGAGGCAATTCCTTTTTTGCATATAGCCAAGTGAACTTTATGACCTTTATTCATTCATTAGATTATATTTGAAGTATAAAATCTGTTTGTTATGCATATGATACTTTAAGCATGAAACCAGTTTCTCTTCTAGTCCAACAGCTCTGTTTACGCACTCTACAATGATGGCGCACCAGAGCTGAAATATATCCACACTTATGGACACAGCAAAGGTACAGCACTATGATTAAAAAAAATCACCTTTATATTACAACCATTTTAATTTTATTTATTTCATCCTTAAAAGTATGTCACAGCTCTTTGGAAGTACTCTATATGTCATGATACATTGTTTTTATGACTGAGCTTGAATAAAGCATGCAATTTGTTGAATCCAATGTAGGTGCAACAGAGGGAAAACTATCTTTTTTGTCTTTTTTTCTGGTGGTGACAATGTAGAATAGATTAATCAATTTCAAAAAGGAGAGGTGCAAAGGCCAAGCGCCTGATAACAACTGTTTGCTCTGACAAAACCTATCTCTCTGACACGTAGTGGACATGTTTTTGTAGTCTCCGTGCCTGTTTGCATGTTTCTGACTCTACCTGTATTATCTTGCATGCTAAAGCATATGCTTGCATTCACCCTACAGGGGTTCTGCTCTTTGACCGCTCTCAAGGTTTCTGGCTGTCCCACTCCATCCCCCATTTCCCTTCCTTCCCTGAGCGAGGCTACCAGTACCCCTCCTCTGGCAAACGAAACGGCCAAACTGCCCTGTGCATGACCTACCCGTATGCGCAGTTTCTCAGTATAGGTGAGTGAGTGCACAGTTAGACTGACTGATATGACCTGCTTATAGTGTCAGTGTGTAACAAAAAATATGCAGCAAAATAAAAAGCCTCATAATACCCTTTCCCCCCATAAAATTAATGATATGATATGATATATATATATACCAATCCATCTGTCTCAAAGGTATTGCTTTGCCACCTTGCAATTATGCCTCTCTCTTTGTGCAGATGTTTTAGATATTTAAATAGTTTTACATTCTACACACATTTCACATATCATTACAAACACACCTTTGACAAAATTAACAGGTATTATATTAGAAAGTTCCAGTTTCCATGTTCATTTATAGAATACTTTTCACACCCAGCTGTTTTTTTTTCTATTTTTTTATTCCAAATTTTACAAATAAGGTCACTCTCCAGCAGAGGTGGGTTGAATGCCCAAAAAACACAAATTTTCTCAAGTAAGAGTAGCACTACTTTTTTTTTCTCTTCAAGTGAAGATAAAAGCAGTCATTCAATAAGTTACTTAAGTATAGACAAAAAAAAGCATTTGGTAGAATGGCTACTTGAGTACTGAGTAACTGATGTATAATAACATAAGATTAAATGTTTATAAATGATGCTGGAAAACAGACTTTATCTGCAAGTCCTGGCATTTTAAATACTCAAATGCCTAAAGAATACAAATAAATGTCATGAATATAAAAGAACAAATTTATGCAGATACATTTTGTTTATGTTAGGACAGGGTAACAAACTTGCACTGTTAATATCTACTGTTTAGTGTATTCTTACCTGATTTATGAACAGTTCAAATTACTCACAGAGGATAGTTAAAGATTTTACTCAAATAGCGATACTTTACAAGAATATTACTCAAGTAAAGGTTAAAAGTGCAACACAGTAAACCTTCTCCTAAAAGTTTTTTTTTCATATTGTTACAAAGTAAATGTAACTGAGTAAATGTAACTGAGTAAATGTAACTAATTACCAACCACCTCTTCTCTCCTGCACAGTTTAGTTTCTGTATGCATGTGAGGTTTAGAGACTTTGCACACATTCTTGTCAATTCACCGAGCTAGTGTGGCCTTTAAAAAAAAAAAAAAAAACTTGTAAACTCTGAATTTAATCAACCTGGTTGAGGCCATTTGTTTTTAGGTAAAAACAATAATTCCAGGTGAATTTGAAGTCCAACTCCTCTAGCTTGTTTAACTTGCAAACAGGACCAAATTTAAGTGATAAAATTTGTCTATTAATCTAATGAAAACAACGCAAGATTATATGTCATATTAAATACCAGATGAATAATTTACAGTAATACTCCATAAATTAGAATAATATTTCCATTGAGGCTCGTTTGTAAGACTGAACTTTGGCAAATACCAACCTAAACATACTTTTCACTAAGCCCATATTCCTTCACTAACTTTTGCTTTTTATTTGACTGATGCAATGCTTCATGATGTAATAATCTCAAGTGTGGTGTTTTTGATATAGCTTTAAGCAAATAAATCATCATCAACAAAATTAGAGACTTGAAAGAAATCCATCTGTGTAATTAATTTATATACATTTTTTTTTTATTAGTAAATTGACCTACCGAAATAAATCAATGTTTGATATTTTGTTATAACTGTACATGACTGAGGACATATTTTAGGTGGAAGTAACTCCAAGGATTTATTTGCATAATTCAAAAGTTCTGATTAAAATCGAATGAAGAAAGTTTATTTATTTTGTACAGCTGTCCTTATCTCTACAACACCACACGTTTTTAACTACCCAGATTTACACACTTATTGTTTTACGCTACACCATACACTCATCAAGTACATATGCATGACAAACAAAAGATTAACGTATCTCTAGATGTCAGACATATGTCTGAGATACAGAAAAGCTTTACATACAGTAGCTAAAAGCTGCTGGTACTCTGAGTATTCAACATTTTTCATTTCTTACACCTTTGGAGAAGCCTTCTCCAAGGAAATTACTCATTTTAAGTCTTAATACCTAACATTTAAAGCAGAGTCTGGGATCTTTTTTGAGCTGAAATGGTAAAATAATTACCATTTATGTTTTATTTTATTTTTTTATGCCTTAAGAAGAGATGTACATCTATAGTTACCGTACATCTATCCATTTTTGTTCCCTCCTGCAGCACAGCAGCTGGCCTTCGTTTACCCACGTTTCTACAACTGCTCCGTCCCCTCGGCGTTCTCAGCTGATCTACCACAGCTTGTCCAGCTGTGTAAGGGCTCCAAATTGCCACTGACCTCAGACAGAGGAGTTAAGCCCCTTTTTTCTCTCAGTGGGGATAAATTTGTGAGCTTTATGAAATCGGAGCTTTTTGTGGATGGTAAGATATTCCTCAGATAGATCTAGACCTTCATATTTACGTTTTTGAACATTCAGTTTCTCATAAAGGAGTTATAAAGTTTTCTGCTGTTCTGTTAACATGTCTTGCTGTATAGTATTGAGCACTGACACTTCATCAACTGAAAACTTCATCAACTTGAAATATTAAGGCAGGAAATTCAAATCAATGCAGATCATTTTCAGCCGAAAATATAATCTATGGAGCCTTGCAGTTACTTTTCTCAAAATTTACATGATACTGATAACTACTCCCAGCGAATAAAGCCTAAGATATCAGAAAGCAGCAAGTTTATTCCACAGAAGTTTCAGGAAAGTACCTGTCAAGTTTCAGGAAGTACACTACCGTTCAAAAGTTTGGGGTCACCCAAACAATTTTGTGTTTTCTCTAAAAAGTCCCACTTATTCAACTCACTCCATACGTCAGGCATTCTTCCAGCATCTTTTCATTTGTTCTGCGTCTCACAAACGTTCATCTTTGTGATCCAAACACCTCAAACTTGGATTCATCCGTCCACAGCACTTTTTTCCAGTCTTCCTCTGCCCAATGTCTGTGTTCTTTTGTCTATCTTAATATTTTTCTTTTATTGGCCAGTCTCAGATATGGCTTTTTCTTTGCCACCCTGCCCTGAAACCCAGAATCCCGCAGCTGCCTCACTGTAGATATGGACACTGGTGTTTTGCGGGTACTATTTAATGAAGATGCCAGTTGGGGACCTGTGATGCATCTGTTTCTCAAACTAGAGACTCTAATGTACTTATCTTCTTGCTCAGTTGTGCAACGCATCCTCCCACTTCTTTTTCTACTCTGGTTAGAGCCTGTTTGTGCTGTCCTCTGAAGGGAGGAGTACACACCGTTGTAGGAAATCTTCAATATCTTAGCAATTTCTCACATGGAATAGCCTTCCTTTCTAAGAACAAGAATAGACTGTCGAGTTTTAGAGGAAAGTTCTCTTTTTCTTGCCATTTTGAGCGTTTAATTGACCCCACAAATGTGATGCTCCAGAAACTCAATATGCTCAAAGGAAGGTCAGTTTTGTAGCTTCTGTAACGAGCTAAACTGTTTTCAGATGTGTGAACATGATTGCACAAGGGTTTTCTAATCATCAATTAGCCTTCTGAGCCAATGAGCAAACACTTTGTACCATTAGAACACTGGAGTAATGGTTGCTGGAAATGGGCCTCTGTACACCTATGTAGATATTGCACCAAAAACCAGACATTTGCAGCTAGAATAGTCATTTACCACATTAGCAATGTATAGAGTGTATTTCTTTAAATGTAAGACTAGTTTAAAGGTGTCTTCACTGAGAAGTACAGTGCTTTTCCTTCAAAAATAAGGACATTTCATGTGACCCCAAACTTTTGAACGGTAGTGTACCTTTTAAGTTCTAGAAAGTAGCCTCCAAGATCAGAGAAAGTAATCTTTTGACTGTATCAGCAGTATAATACAATACCACAAAGGTGGACTATGTTTCATATGATAAGTGTATTTTTATTTTTTTCTTGTTGATAATGAACCTTTCTTCTCCAACTCTTTTGGCTTCCTGTAGATATCTACAACGCCTGGGTGGCGCAGGCCCTGGACACCGATCTTCTGGTGGAGACTTGGCAGAGGCAAGGCCGCGAGCTGCCCTCCAACTGCTCCCTGCAAAAGCACACGATGAACATCAAAAGGATTCAGCTTCCTCCATCAGTCCAGTTCGAGTCGCGCTATGACCACTCAAAGTGGTGCGTGTCGCCAGTTGACAGGGTGACCTGCCTGGGGGATCTGAACAGGGTCAAGGCTCAGATGCTTCGTGCAGGGGGGCTGATCTGCTCCTACAACCCAGTGATTTACAAGGCCTTCAGAAAGGCAGTGAACTGGTACATTAGCTGCTAAACAAGGCTGAATAAATTTGATTGAGTTTGATCATTTGTATTTTAAAAATCTGCCTTGTAACCCTCTATGAAGTTTTATCTAACAAACGGTCCTACTTTTCCCTTAGAGGTATTTTAATCAAAGTTAAACTCATAACCCTTCACAATTATTAGGAAACCTGGAGCTTTGTACAACAGCCTTTAAAATAGTTACGGGGATTTCAATATAAATATGTTCAAATCACGGTAGTCAGTGTGACTGAGATTTGTTGGATACAGTTTAATTGATCAGTATGATTACCAAGAAGGCTTTTTTGTGGCCTAGTCAAAGGCCATGTTTTAGCGAAACACTTCTGTGCACAGCGACCTATAGAAAGCGTTGCTTGCTTTCAGCAATTCTTGTTTATAGCTTTTACCATCAACAGTGGTCATTGCTTTTTCACATAATTTGGTTTAGATAGCAAGGCAGGGCAAGGCAAGGCAAATTTATTTGTATGGCACAATTCAGTACAAAGACAATGCAAAGTGCTTTTTAGATGGCTTTTTTCTTACTATGATACTAAATATACTAAATTGTTACTATCATTTAAAAAAAAATCACAATTTAAAAAGCTTTTTTTTTTAGGTATTTACTCAGGTTTTCTTTGTCTGATATTGAAATGTTTACAATAATCCCACACTTCAATATGAAAATGTATCCATAAAAAATATAAAACTGTAAGAAAAAATTAATGTTTTAAAGTACCATAAAAAAAAAACTGAGAAAATGTAAAGCATCATGTGTTTTTCAATTAAAATCCAGTTTGTATAATTAATTTTCCCATTAAACAGCACCTTCTAGTGGTGAGACTGGTGGAATGTGGTTAAAACTTAAAGTTTATGGCTTTTCATGAGCATCCAGCTACTTTCCTCCACCAACTTATACTTAGACTTCTTTATTTGTCATTTTGTATGCACAGAGTGCATACAGAATGAAATTGTGTTACATACAGCTTATGAACATTGCATTGATATTTCAAATGGCACGAGTTATACAGAAAGTGCAGCAGTGGTCAACGTGTAAAACAGTGCAGAGGATAAAGACAGTATGCAAATTGCAATGGTTCAGTGCAGATAGGCATTTGTGCAAAAAATGCGTTATTTAGAATAGAAATGAGATGAACTTAAAGGGCTAAAAGTTAAACGTTCAGCAGCATTTGATGCCTGATAGTGTGCAATAGGTGCAGAGTTCGGTTTGTGGATCAAAGGTTCAACAGTCTGATGGCAGTGGGGAAGAAGCTGTTGCAGAACCTGGTGGATCTGCAGCGGAGGGCAGCAGGGACAACAGTCCATGGTGGGGGTGTGAGGGTCTTTGATGATATTACGGGCTCGGGACACACAGCGCTGTGATGAAATGTCCTTAATGGAGGGAAGAGGAGCCCCAATGATTCCTTCTGCTGTCCTCACCACCCTCCTCACGTTCTTCCAGTCGGAGGCTCTGCACACCACAACGACCATAACAACTTGGAGGCTTTTGTGTTTGAGTGTCTTTTCTTTCAAAAATATTTTCTTGAAAGAATTGCTTGGAACATCAATTTATATGATCCATTTTTATATCATTTATTATGTTTCTAAAACAGTAAATGTAAAAAGCCTTCCTCTTTTGTATTCATGCAGCTTTTCAGAGTGGGATCCATCGATAAGTTCTGTGTGAATTGTTCAGATGATGCACAGTGAGATTTGCAGCGACAACTTCTGCTCCTATTTGTATAAACAACATGGAAGTGTCAGCAGGTTTGAGGCAATTAAACTTTTAAAGCGCTTTCGTTTCCCAATAACTGCTCTTTGTTAAAAACAGTAGACAAACAGGTTACAGCAGGTTCATCAGGTGAATTACAGGTGCAATTTTTAAAATATTTTTTCACATTGATGGTTTGTGCAACAAGGAAGCGACTAAAGTGTGAAAAAAGCGTGGGTGTCAGTTTCCTTTTGACACTGGCGTATGACACAGCAGCTTTTCAAACAGTTTTGTAGTCCAGTTTGAAGGCAAGTGACGATGACAGCGCATGTGAGTTGAACATTTAAAGGGAAATATTAATAACAGAAATAAATAATTGTAAGCTGAGTAAAAATAACATTGATATAACTTAAAAACAGAACATTTGGAATCAATGGTAGTTTTCAATCTGCTTCTGTTTATGTACAGGGTTGTCAAAAGAATTAAAGCTCACAAAGTGAAAGTAGTCTAATAGCTATGCTTTGGTTGTACGTATTGTTATTTTGAATAAATGGTAAAAATGTATGCCAATTAATATAGATCCTAACTGTTGGATTGACTTTGTTTAAACGAATAGTTGTGTTGCATCACTAAGTTGTATCAGGAAGTGCCTTTTGTGGGTAACCAGAACTCTAATAAGTCATTAGAAATAGAGAGGTTTCCTAAAAAAGAGGAAACATGTATTCAGAAAACAAAAAATAGCAATCTTGTATATTTGCAAAAGGTTGTAACATAAAACAACAAAGAGTTTTGACACCTGCTATAATGAGGGGAAACCATTATTAGTATGTAAAACACTAGACCACACATGTATATTTTGAAACACTGGAAAAGAGACAATTTTCTGCATATTTTGCTTCCAAGGAGCCAAACATTCATTTTAAAATTGGAAACTCCTGTAGATCAATGGGGTTTCTTTGGGATAGGACTGCTTTTTCTTCATTAGTCTGGTCCTTCTTTACAAATAAGCTTTCCATGCAGAGTTTATTAGAAGAAAAAACATAAAGAGGAGGGCAGTGGATGTAAACAGCAGGTCTTAAAAGTTACAGCTTTAAGGAATAAAAAAAAAAAAAATCAAGCATAGACCTGGGAGCTGCATTCATTATCTGTTAATGTATATACCACATAAACAGTTAATTATTCTTAAAAATCATCTTCATTCATATAGTGTATATTTAATAGTTTCAATCCAATTTAAAATGAATAAAAACTAAAAGAAATTACCAAGCTCATCATCATTAATTGACTTTTTAGGTCTGATTGATTGATATTACCTTGTACTCGTCGTCCTGCATTTCATCATTGACCGGGTTGCGGGGCAGCAGTCTCAGTAGAGAGTCCCAGGCTTCCCTTTCTCCCCATGACACAGTCTCTCCAGCGTGTTTTGGGTCGTCCTCTAGGCCTCCTCCCATGGGACACCTCCTTAAGGGGGGCATTCTAAATAGATGTCCGAGCCTCCTCATTGGACTCCTCTAGATGTGGAGGAGAAGCAGCTCTACTCTGAGCCTCTCCTGAAAATAATTATCTTCACATGCTCAGATAAATAATTCAAAAGGACTGCCCTTAAAATGATAAAAAAGCAGTTAATGTCCAGTTGAAAAATTACTCACATAGCCTTGGAGAAAGATACAACTGATTGAAAAGAGTGCTGTATTCTTGGAAGAACAGAAGAATTCTGTTCTAGATGTGGTATTTTATATTACACACAAATAATACTCACTGTAAAAGTCAGGGATATGTACCTTTCAGGTGAAATTTTGGGAAAATTTAGAAAATGCATGCCATTTTGATATATTATTTATTCTTAGAAAGATACAAGGGTAGTTTTCTTATCTGAAACAGTTTATTAAAGTAGATTTGAGTAGATGTGGATGGAACATTTTGATTTTTCTTATTTCATATATTAAGTTATGCTATTTATCCACAGAAAAATGTTTTTACTCAGTCTGTTTCACCTGCAAGGCCACACAATGTCTGAGTGAGGGGTTTTTGCATAGAAGGAAATATTATTCCCATAAAAAGCCAGATCCTTTCTCAAGGTTTATTCATAACATGTTACTGTTTAACCAAAGTGTCTGTATTTTTTTTTTGACTCTGACTACTGCCCATTAAGGAAGATACACACTGGCCAGAACAGGGCTGATTACAATGCAATAAGGGCGGTATGATGCCTTGTTCTCTCTTCAAATGCTGACTGAGTGAAATCCATCGATCTCCGTTTATTTAACTGGAGTGAATAATTTAATACTTTTTTTACACAACAGTAGATTAACAGATATGTATCCAGGTCTTATTAACTGGACATTTGTTTTTCATCTACTCCAGCTGACACTGATGTCTCTATGAACTTATTGTTTACTGAAGCATCTTATTTTACTTTTAGGAATTCCTTCAAAGCACAGAGGTTCTGGGTTGTAGCGTTACTGTCGACTCATTTGAGGCTTTAGGTCTGACTTAAATCATTTATGAAATTTTCTTTCAGTTAATTATCTTATAAGAGAACATTATGTTATGCAGTTATATAAAAAGAATGAACAGCCGAACGTAAGCATTCAATAGTTTCGAAAATGTCTAAAGAGCATCACCTCTAAATGTCATTACGTGTTTCAGGCACAATCAAAAAAATGATCATGAACACATGATCATTACTTCATGTGTTTTACTCATTTGTGTCTCCCTCTGTTTTTAGTTGCTTTTGGCCAAAGATCCATCACTTTGTTTTTAGCAATAAGTTTCAAATGAAACCTAAGGACTTCCTTCTTTGTAGTAATTATGTTTGTTTTAGGAATTAATCAGACTCCTCCTCAGTGTTGGACTCCTGTTCAAAGCTTGCTATTCAGATGTGAGGTGCAGGAATGACAGAGGAGAGGCTGTGGACTGGTTGGTGAAGATTTCCAACAATATTCTCCCCTCCGCTGAGCTACAGCTGAATAAATGATCATCTGTTTGCATTCTCACCATTAGGTATATCGTCTATAAGCTGCCCAAAATGAATGATGATGGGTTGTCGTATTTGTACATGGATGAGAGCACCAATGGGTGGCACCTCAGCAGGGAGAAAATTGACAGTACAACTGGCTTTCTAGCAAAGACACTGAAACCTCTACTTGACTTCTATAACAGAAAGGTAACTCAAAACCCTGGATATTATTGAAAAAAATGTGCAGCTTTTCAAGTTTAAGTGCATTCTATTTTGGTTTTTGTTCTATTTGCCTGTCAGACTGAAGGGTTTGGATACATACTCTACAGTGATCAACCTCCACCTCCCTATTCTGCTCCTTCATCATTCGGTCACAGTAAAGGTGGGCCCTATACTTTTCAATTTGTTTGCACAGAAAATTTAACATGTATTTGTTTTGACTTTGATTTAATTTCCCTCAGGTGTTGTGATGCTGGATCGTAACTTTGGACTTTGGCTTTCACACAGTACACCTAAATTTCCAACATATCAGAGTGCAAAGTTCTGGCCAAGCAGTGGAAACGTAAATGCTCAAACTTTTTTTTGTATTACCTTTCCATACAAGCAATTTAAAGAAATAGGTAAGCTACTGAGGGAGATTGATTAATTCACAATTTTGAAAAAAAAAGGACTGTTTCGTGATATAACATGACTAAAATACTATTTAAATATTTAGGAATGCAGCTAAAGTACATCCATGCCTATTCATTTGACTCTGCAATCCCAACAACTTTTTACAATGAGCTGCAATGTGTTGCACAAAGAAGCTGCTACCCGAAAAAAGAGCCTTGGTTTAGAGTGACGAGCCTAAGCTCTGCAGATGGCAGCATTTTCACCAGTTTTGCAAAATACAAGCGCTTTGGAGAGGGTATGTTTTTGCATTGCCCCTCACCAGAAAAATTAGCTTATTTGCAAAATATTATAGATACAAAATATAAATTTGATAACTGTTTACCTTCTGTTTTTTCTACTTTCCAGACCTTTACTCTGGGCTAATAGTAGACCACATGCCTCAGGATATCTATGTTAAGAGCTGGGGGAAAATGCGTGACCCTTTGCCCTCCAACTGCAGCTCAAGTCTTCATCATCATGTCCATAATGTCAAAGAAGTGCAGCTGCAGGGAACGGAGAAGTTCACCGATACGGTGGATCACTCTAAGTGGTGTGTGACTTCAGATGGTGGCTGGATATGCATCGCTGATATGAACAGAGAGGTCAGTCAGAAGGGCAGAGGAGGAGGAGCGATTTGCACTGAAGATACAACAGTGGGAACAGCTTTTAAGAAACTGATCCGAAAATTTGAAGGATGTAAAGAAACCCATCATGAAAGAGAACTCTAAAACCACAGCAATCACTAAAATTAACCCCTGTTACTCACAATCAATGCATGCTTATTAGCTTGTGTTTTTATCTAACATTGGTCAAACAGGCATAGAAAAATATCTACCTGATGCATTAATATAAAATCACTAATTGTAAGTATTGAGAGGAGGGTTTTGTATTTTTTGGGGGGTATTAACATAGGGAATGGTGTAGGTGAGGCTTGGATCTATGCCCCATGTGCAACATTTTTAATAAGGGGACAAAGACATGGATTTCATGCCATATATGTTTATTATAGGATAATTATATATTTACTGAGAATTCTAATTCTGTTTATGGAAAATGTATATATTTTTTTAACTTTCCTTGTGCAATAGAGCAAGCAAATAAGGTTAATATTGTTATATAAAAAAGAGAGTGGTGGCCTAGTGGTTAGGGCATATAGCTTAGAATCCTGAGGCTATGAGTTCATGCCCCACTCCCACAGACTGCCACTCTGGGTCTCTGAGCAAAGACCCTTAACTCCGATTGCTCCTCAGGCCCCCCACAATGGCAGCCCACTGCCCCAAAGGGATGGGGTAAATGGAGAGGTAAATTTATCCAACGTAAAGTCAAAAAAGTTCAATTACTATGATTTTTTAAGTATATTATACTGTACAGACTAAATGGGTAGTTTAATAAGGGCATACCTTTTCCTTCTACTTGTATTTAAAAGCATGTAATTAACTTGTTCAAATACTTTCTTTAATTGTGTTTTATTTCTGTGATGCTTTTTTATCTATGTGTACAGTAAAAAAGCCCTTTTCATATCACTTGTGGGTCTGGATTTCCAAATAGTTTCAATAAAGCAACTGTACTGTACTTTAACTGTACATGTTTTAATAACTGTTTTTCTGGATTTTTGTCAAGTGCAAGTTTTTTTTTCCCCATTTGACTGCATCTATTGTGCTTTTTTTAAATTAAACACTTTAGTTTGTTTGGGAAAAAGTATTAATTGACAACTAAATCAGAAACTAACGGGGAGGGGGAACAAACTGGCCAAACCCAGAACATTAGCTGGAGATTCATTAAGGTGAACAGTAAGGATGTTGATCCAACAGTGACTAAGTGACTGTCTTCTCATTTTTAAATGACTGCACTGAGAAGTGTTTTTACTAAAAGTATGATATGGATTTTTATAACGCCTAATTTCTTATAGTGGTTTCAAAGTTTGATGATTTTTTTTTTATGGGCAAAACTTTAACAGCTAATCCTAAAATACTTTAAAATGTTGAATTTCAGAATAAAAATATGAATCAGTTTAGCCATCATTGTTAAGCCTTTTGTGTTGATCTTGGTATTTAATAACAAAGTTATCAATTGAAAACTTAAAAAAAAACAACTGTCTACATTATGAAGATATTGGTCAAAAGTGTGATTTTTTTTTTATCTATAAGATTTTAAAGACCTTGTCATACTGAGACAAACACTAAGCATTCATTCAGGAGGAAATAATAGGAAAGACCTTGAATTAGATATTCATCAGAGTTTGTTTAGGTTATTTAGGTATGGAATAGATGTTCAGTTCTGCTGGGTTTCAGCGCACGAAGGTGTGAGAGGAAATGAAATAGCAGACAAGATAGCTAAGGCTTTAGGAAAGCAGAATATACTGTAGATCAGATTCCATTTGGGAAAGGGGAAGGTAAATCAATAATTAAAAAAGAAAGAAACAAAATTATGGCAAAAAAAAAAAATATGGGATGAAGATGAGAAAGGAAGATTATATAGGGTTCAAAAATCTGTAATTGTTAAAAATTATGGAGAAAGAAGCAGAAGGTAAGAGATAATTTATACTAGATTAAGAACTGGACATACCTACTTGAATAAGTTTTTGTTTGTAATAGCGAAAATGAATATTTATATATGTGAGGCTTGTGAAAGAAAAGAAAATGTGGATCACGTTTTAATGGATTGCATTAAATATGTAACCAAAGAGAGGGTATGAGGAAAGTAATTATGGAAAAGGGGAGAGAATGGAGTATTAAAGTATTTTCAGGGACAGATGGAGATAGGGAGGAAAATTTGGTTATTAATAAAGCATTGTTTTTATTTTTACATAACACAAAAATAAAAAAATTGTATATAGTAGGTGGAACTATAGCAAAACACACTCATGTACAGTAGGTGGCGGTATGCACCTATAAGTTGTTTGCAATCCGCCGATCTAACAAAGAAGAGAAGACAAACAGTACACCTCCTTACCGCTAGGGGTGCCATACATTTAGTGCTACACTATTTATTCACCTCTCATCCCAGGAAGTGAACCGATTCCGAGTGACTCTCTTCTACACATGTGAGAGGATCCATAACAGACCGGAGAAACACAGAAGATGGATATTTCAGAGGTTCACTCGAATCAAGGCAATAAAAGCAAGAAGAAAAAAAACAAGAAGACAGTGAAAGCCAAGGCGAAGGTTAAAAATCCTGAAGTGAAAGAAGAGAGCAGCACCGTGGAGATGAAGACCGAGCCAGAGGCTGCGTTTCCCCCCACATTTAGTGTCTCCGAGATCAAGAACAAACAACGGAGGCACCTCATGTTCATGAAGTTTAAGCAGGAGAAGAGGAAGGTAAACTTTCTAGGAGTTACCAAAGCAGAGTTTTTTATTACACAATATTGACATTTCACTGATCTCCATTTATTAACTGGGTTGTTGATAGGCTGTTGGTAGTACACGGTGCTCTGACGTCAACAGCCGCCATATTGGTACTCCCTAGGTAGACCGGTCGGAAAGTAAACAATTGGTTACAGTATCCAACAACGATTATGTTCTTATATTCAGCGGGTTTATCATCCCTTGCACACTGTTTTTATAGAATCAATAGATTACTGTCATTTATGGTAAAAAAAAATAAAAATAAATAATGATAAATAGGCACATCACATTGCATATTCAGAGTCCATGAAGTCTATAAATTATGTAATATAACATATTATATAAATCCATCATAAAACAATTGTTTTTTTTAATAGAGTTTAATACTTTAGTCAGATATAAAAAACATTGCACATGCACACTATCTGATTATGTGCCAAAAGTGCTAAATTGATAATGCACATGTAATATATATATATATAGGGTTGGGAATTGATAAGATTTTCACAATTCCGATTCCCTTATCGATTCTGTGAAACGATTGGATTCCCTTATCGATTCTTTGAAACGATTGGATTCTCTTATCGATCTGTTAACGATGATTTTGGAATGTGCACGGTGACATTCATCTACCTTCGCCTGGGACATTCTTTTTCTGCATGCCTCAGCGAAAACAGTAGGCAGTGAACGGGAGCTGCCAGCCTTTGAGCCAGCCAGGCTGCCCGTCTCGTCACAGTCTTTTAAATCTAATGGAGAAGGCATTGGTTTAATGAAAAACCGTTTTGTACAATGCGAGCGTCACCTTTCTCTCGCTTCCTGAACTGCGGAGCAACTTCGATTTTTTTTTTTTTTTACTTTTATGGAACTTTTTAGCATGTTTAATAACCCCAAAGAAAGCTAGGAAATTGGTTTATTTCCAGAAATGTCATATGGTTTACTAGGAACCACATTAAGCACAGCCAGTGATATAAAATTAGCTACTTACCACCAGAGTTGCCTTCTATGCTGGTGGTAACTTTAGCTTCTGTCCGGAAGCATCAAAAACATGACATTTGTTAAAATGTATGCCATGTTGTGTGCGAAGGTGTTTCTGCACGTTGGATGTATTTCCTCTCACGGATGTAATTGCCACTTTGCAATGATTGCAAAGCGCCTTGTTGCCATTTTTCTCTCCCTTAAAATGAAGCCAAACTTTCGATCACTTTACCCGATGGGACGCCCTTTTTTTTGTTTTGCTTTTCTAGAAACATGCCTGGTCTCCTCGTACTTACCTACTGAATGCTGTGTGCGTAACTTGCGTAAAAAAACGTGACGTAAGTCGTGCTGCCTGGAACCGTTAAGAGAATCATTAAGCGAGCTGCCAAACGGTGCTATGGAATTGGAACACATGGAACCGGCTATTATCAGGAACCGGTTTTCGATTCCCATCCCCTATATACATGTACTGGTTACACTGTTATGGTAATAACATTACAGTACAGGCATTTTTATGGCGCAACTCTGTGAGAGTTTGGAGTACCAAGATGGCGGCAGGTGAGTTCAGTTTTTTCGGCCTATCAGCAATCCAGTGAACAAAAATGAGATCAGTGCAACAAATACGTTACCTGCTGTTACATTACCAGATTGCGTTTTTTCTATGGGAGTGTGTGTAAAATGTTGTGTCTTTTTTATTTTGTCTTTTAGCAAAAACTCCTACTGAAGAAAAAGAGGAAAAAAGAAAGAGAAGCCCTGGGTGATAAGGTGTGTTTTACTGTTAATGGTTTTCTAATCCAGGTTTCCTACCATGTTAGCCTTTTTTAATTATTGGTTCATATCTTTGTTGTGTTATTTCCATCCAAGGCGCCACCAAAGGAGGTCCCCAAAACGATAGAAAACCAGAGAGTGTTTGATGAGACGACAGTTGATCCAGAGGATGAAGAGGTTTGGGTTTAGCTTTGCAGACAGATATGCACTCATAAAATTCCAATGTGTTTTTATTTTTTATTTTTTTTTTTAACCAGAGTTTCTTTCTTCTTTTTTTGGTGCTGTTCTAGGTTGCTTTTGATGAGGGAACTGATGAATTTTCTGCTTATTTTAATGGGTTGACAAATCCCAAAGTGCTCATCACCACATCAGACAGACCCAGAGGGGTGAGAAGCTGCTGGTTTTCAACACCAATCAGAGTTTGACTAGTTTTAAATTGAGTTTTTCCTTAAAAAAAACCCGTTACTAGTTTAAGGATCATGTAAACTTTTTTTGTGGATACGTTGCTATTTCGATTCATATGTAATGTTTATAGGTAGCATTAGTATTTAATAAAAAATGCAGTTGATAATTATTTGTCCCTAATCCAAATTAGAAGCCAGTTCCGAGTTCAGACTGTGTAACGAAAAATCTAAAACTATTTTCTGACTTGAGACTGAAGAAAATAAAATTCTTTCCATCTTGCACCCTAAATGTTAAACTTTGTTATTTTTGTCTCTTGTTTTTTGTAGAGAACAGTAAAGTTTTGTGAGCAGCTTGCCACTGTCATCCCAAACGCCTATGTTTACTACAGAAGAGGCCTCGCTCTGAAGAGGATCATACCCCAATGTGTTGCCAGGGACTTCACCTATCTAATGGTCATCAACCAGGATCGCCAGCTGCCCAGTATCCTAAATTCATAAAGCTTTTCTGATGACCCAAGAAAATCTATTTCTATGTTATGGGTCGTTCTTGCCTGAATTGTTAGCTGTTACTCCTCTGGCTGTACTTATCCTTATTGCAACAGCTTTCAGAGAATCCACGCTAAAACAACAGATTGGATTGGAATAAATATCAGCAAATTAGATGAATAAAAGAATACATGGGATTTGATTGCAACAAACCCAAAGCAGACCAACAATAAGTCTGTTTTTTATTTAATTTATTTTCATTTTCTACTGTCGGCATCCTTAGCATACATTTTAAGATGGTTTGGTTCTTTGTCATCTTCCCGATGGGCCTACTGCTCACTTCAAAGTAAGCAGTGTTCGACTACGAAAAGAGATAAAGGCAAGTAAGATTCTTACTTTCTTACATCTGTACTGTTCAAAAAAAGTCTGAATTCTTATTTTATAAAACTGCAATGTATTCCTGTACAATATGAAGAAAAGCCTGAAGTGTGTGGGATGTTGGTTCTACTACTTTCCTCGTCTGGATAGTTATGGAAAATAATTTGTTTTTACAAACACAACTGTTTCAATATGATGTCCGTTCATCCGCCCATTATAAGCATTTAATAATGGGTTAAAATGAATCTGACGTGTATACAACCTCAGCTGAGAGGGCTGAAACAATTAATCTGATTAATTGATTATTGAAATAATCATCTACTAATTTAGTAATTGGTTAATCGTTAACTGGAGGATGGAGACTCTAAAACATGCCGTAAACTAATAGAGCAGTAGTTGTACCATATATAAACATTTTGCATTAAAGTAAAAAAAAAAAAAACTAAACATATTTGTCTGTCGATATGCTATTTGCAGAACTCCTCAAGTGGAAGAGTTTTAGTTTGATTTGGTTTAAATTCTGAAAAAAATCTTCTTTAAGAAACCTTTTCCTATCCGAATATTAATCGATAGAGGTAAAAATTGTTAACAGATTAATCGATTAGCAAAATAAATGTTAGCTGCATTCCTACTCTTTTCTGATTTCAAACTAATTTGTTCTTGATATTTTAGGTAGGCCTAATTAATAAAGGACTAAACTTAAGCCTCCCACTTGGCTCCCATGCTGGCCGTCTGAGGTTCATTTGTGCTGATCGTTTACTGAATTCTTTGTTTTTTAGAGAAGAGGCAAAGAGCCGACCGAACACTATCCAGAGGTGATTCTCAACAACTTCACCACCCGCCTTGGACACAGCATAGGTCGTCTGTTTGCCGCTCTCTTCCCGCAGAACCCTCAGTTTGTGGGCCGACAGGTCGCCACCTTTCATAACCAGAGAGATTTCATCTTTTTCAGATTCCACAGGTAAATGTCAAGCTGCAGCATGCACACGTCCTTCTATTGGTAATGTTCAGTGATTGAGTGGCTTCATGTTTTACTTGGATCAAATAACAAAATAATAGATATTGGCAAAAAAAATTGATGATTTTTTAACTTCTGTGCTTTATTAAATATTTCAGCTTCTGCTACACGCATATTTTTCCAGAATGGACAAATTTCCCAAACTGCTAAGTTTTTTTTAGCAAAATCTATTAAGCATAGGTTGAAAAATGATGCTAACAGTCGTCAACCAGTGTATTTAAATTTGCTATTTCTAAAATTTGTTTTTATTTATTTAAACACCATAAAATAAAAATGCTGCAGCATTATCATTTTTCTAGTTTAGTCTAATATCTGTCTATGATCTTTAGACCCCTCACCTGTTAATCCATGATCCCGGGAGGGGGGGCTACAACTCAACCTTTGGGGGTCAGTGGTCTAAAGCAGAGATCTTCAGCGTCCCCCTAGTGGGTCGCAGAGGTACTGCATATCTTAAAAAGTCTTTGGATCTGTTTCCCAAAACAGAGAAAATGTCAGACCAGCTTCTTCACAAGCTCACAACAGAACCGTTTGTCTCTTGATCAGAATGATAGCTGGACATTACGTTCCTGTTGATGTTTGCATATTTTTCTCTAAACCTCTGAACATGGTCCATTTAGGCAGGCAGAAGTGGTATCGAAAAGGGAAACCAGAGTTGAACTACTGTTACGGTCCTGGTCTCTTGACTGATTTTATCTTTTTTTCTATTTTAAATTAACCAACTAGAAGCTTTTAAATCTAAGACAAAAATTCCCAAAATGCGTAACAGCAGTAATCTTACATTATATAAATAGCTCAATATAAATGAAATAGAATATTTTATCATCCTGGCATATTGCATTTTTTAATCCACATTAGTGACCTGAAGCATGTCATATTTGGACTCGTTTTTTTTGTCTGACACTGTATATGATTGTGTCTTTTTGTACTTTGTAAACATCAGGAAAAGACGACTCAGTTTTAAGTTCTGCTCTTTTATGGTCGGTTCTTCATCATGACCAAAAGCTTTACTGCTGACTGTATGTAACCATGGTCCCAGCTTCAGCATGAATTCTTCTAAGCTACTCCCTTCCCATAAGACTTTAGGGGGAAATCTCTTGGGATTTAGCCCTGTGCTAAATAACGCTTCTAACCTTTGCCTGCAAGATGACTTATCGGTATTTGTGCAAGTATCCATCGTGTACCACTTCAGCTGAAATCTTTGGAACTAAATCATCTTGCAGTATTAATCAGTAAAAAAATTGAAATTTTCCAGGCTATTAGTGGAAACAACCATCAGCTGTGAGCTCTCTGAGCAAAATCTCAGAACAGTAGTTAAAGGGGCGGGACAATCAATCTTATTGGCTGATGTGAAATCAGCCTGTGCCAGCTATTGGTTGTTTAATCTGTCACTGAAAACAATCGCTAAAGGCATATTTCAAAGTTTTTAAAGATTTTTAGCACTTTTTATCTATATTTATGAACATATTTATTAACTTATTTTTTACTTTATAATTTTTGTTAACTCTTATTTTAGAATAAGACATGAAATCCATACATTTTAAGTAGAACAAGTATTGTAGAAGAAGATATATCAAGATCCATACCCTTTTTTTTTTTTTTTTTTACTTGTGGTTTTAACACTGGGTTACATATAGCTGTGATGAAGCCAAGAGACCAAAACAAACACGGCAGTGCAGGAGGATGTATAGTTTTCTGCTTTTCTTTGAAAGAGGTCTCCAAGAACATAGCAGGTTGTTGTGGTTTCTCATAGCGTCTGCTGCTATTTAAATGTTTCTGTGTTTGGCTAAAACCAAACCTTGGTAGGCAGGAAGGTTCTGCTGAACGGCACCTCTTTGCCCTAAACCGATTCAATAGAAGAGCAGTCTCAGAAATAGGTGTAACTACACATTATCGTTCTGGCTTGCTAGTTTATAAAATTACCATGAATTGGAGAAAATGAATGTAAGGTTAAATAACAAAATAAAGCTTTAAATAAGAATGTTAAAATGTTTTTTTTATAAGGTACATCTTCAAGAATGAGAAGAAAGTTGGCATTCAGGAGCTGGGACCTCGCTTCACTCTGAAACTCAGATCTTTGCAGAAGGGCACATTTGACTCAAAGTATGGGGAATACGAGTGGGTGCTGAAGGTGAGCCTGTTAAATCAAATAAGAATTTTAATAACTTTTCAAAGGTTTATAATGAAAACCTATTTGCTTAAAATTGCATGAATAAGACCCGTTGTTACAATCTGATCAATTTTAGAATTAAAATAGGTGCACTTTGGAAAATGTCAAATATGAATTTTCATTTCTTTAAGTGTAAAATAAAAATATTTCTCTTTCAGCGCCATGAGATGGACGCCTGCAGGCGGAAGTTCCAGCTTTAAGTTCCTGCTTCCTGTAATCAGACCATGTCCAACTAATGTGTGGATTTGTGCAAAATTGCTCCACCTGTGATAGCTGCTCAAAGATCCAGCTTTAACTCATTAGGTGGCGTTGCCATGTTCCCTGGAAAATGTTCACATATTCATTTCATATTAAACTGTATAAATGAGTTATTTGAAGATGACTTAAATGGTGAAGAGTGTGAGATGGAAGAAGAGACGTCTATTTCTTACAGGCTCTCCGTGTCATAAATTCAACACATAATGTACATACTTTTTGTTTTTTAAGCCTTCATGTTTTGATTCAGTGAAGTTTAACCCATTTTTAAGATTGTGTATAAAAAGTACTTTTATGCTGAAACAAGGATTTATTTTTGACACATCAGAATATACCTACATGGTGTCTGAAGGTCTCCTCTAAAAAGGTGTCAGCTGTTATAAGGCAGACAATACAGCCTGTAGGCATCGCTTAGAGCAGAATGTTTATATTTTAACACAATTTGGTGGAATGGGGTTTTATGTGTGCTAATGGAGTGAGCTCTGCAGACCTAAAAATAAAAAATGTAAAATGCATCCTAATCAGTCACCTGAACCACCTCAGCAACTCATTTAAGGTTGTTCTGCTGCAAGGTTCCCCAGGATAACAGACATTCCTATCCTTTTAAAGAGACTCATTTCAGTTGCTTAGATTTTGTTTATTTAGATTATCACAGCATGGATAAAGTTAAGGCTCTAAATTAACTAAGTTTTTAAGTCGCAATAGAGACACTACAGATTCAGGTTCTGTTCCAATCTGACCTTTTTGTAAATACATATATTCATGTGAACAGATTGTTTAAAGTTCAATTTGCATCTTCAGAATTACTGCCTTTATAATATAAGACGCAGATAATGTACTCATCAAAGTAGATTTAGTAGATCTAACATTACAAAAAACAGCCAGATGTATATCAAACTGAAAGTTGTGTCTATGTAGGTATTTTTGGGGGGAGAAACCAAGAAGCTGAAGTAGAATGGCTCTACCTCACCACAGGTAAATAAAACTGGTTTTCTTCAGAAGTTTTATCAGCATGACTGACCGGAGACAAACATGTTTTAACATAACCTGCTGGAGAAAAGGCAGCAGAAAAATATAGATGGAAATGGTGATTAAACTAAAGTAGAATCTAGCTTTAGTCACAGTATGGGGAAAACAATCCACTTTAAAAAAAAAAAGCCGCTTAAAACATGTTACAACACGAGTCGGCTTCACCTTCAGGGTTCATGCATGCTTTCCTGCAGGAATTTGTTTCAGTGCAGAGAAACAGATTTACAAAGTGATACAATCTCATCAGGAGTTGAATTTCTAAAGTCTTTAATATTAGAAATATTAACGCAATTTCCCACAGCTTTAAGTGAGTAACTTGATACAGCTGCACTAGCTTCCCTGGAGCTCTTGATCTGCAATCTTTCTGTGGAATCAATCCTAGATAAACCCATTATACACTTTGACAACTTTGTTGATATCCCTCATTTAAAGAAAAACCCACAATGCTCACAGAAATTGCTCAACAAATTAAAATATTAAAAAAAAAAACTAAAAAAAAAACACCAAGTAATTAATTGCCATTTCATGCTTCAACAGAATAATTTCGTGGTAGTTTAACCATTTGATTCAGGTGTGTAGGGAAAAGATCTAAAATTAGCAGAACACCGGTGTTCTGTCGACAACATACCCATAGTCAATAAGCATGTGCAAGATGTTAGATTTGAATGTGAATGCTAGTCCCGTTAATCCCTTTAGTTTTGTATGAAAAAACTAAGGTCAGATCACCAGATGCTTCAAAAAACATTTTTTTTTTTTTTTAAGTACATGACTAAAGGGATACACGCCCATTGAGGTAGTTGAAAGTGTATTTTTCATGCAAAGCTAAAGGGATCAACAGGGATCACACTATGAGTATGCTGATCTAACGAGCGCCGGTGTTAGATGAACATCCCCATTTATTCCTTTAGTTTTGTATGAAAAATACACTTTAAAACTACCTCAACTGGTTTGTATCCCTTTAATCATGTACTAAAAAATGAATTTTTGGTGTTTTTTGAAGCATATGGCGATCTCACCTTAAATTATTATTTTTTGTATGACTTAAGGGATGCACACCCCTTCAGTTTAAAAGTCTATTTTTTGTACAAAACTAAAGGGATAAACGCAAATCTGACATCTTGTGCATGCGTATTGACTATGGGTCTGATTGGGTATGCTCATCTGACAGAACACTGGCCCTCAAGGACGCATCCCCACTCAAAAGAAATCTAAATTAATTGGCTGAATCCCTCATTTCTATATGGTTTACCATGCAAAGATCTATAAAAAAGTTGTGCACCACAAAATAATCATTTTCTTGTCTGTTCTTGGCAGCTGCTTTTAAGTTACATTGTCAAGGCAATAGAAAAACAAACATGGAGCTTTGCAACTAAAAATTAGGAAACAGTTTAGTTTTATTTAGAGATTAAACATTTACATTTCAGAAGGCACAATATGTGTTAGTTCTATGCAGGAAGGCTGAGACATTTATTATGCACCAAAAAAGTTTTCTGTTAAGGTTAAAGTTAAAAAAGCTCAAGTGAGAGTCCTGGCTCAAATTCCCAAGACTCCTGAGACAATTCCAGTCCATTTTGAAGAATCCTGCAGCTCAGCTTAACAAGGCACGTCATCCAAAACCTGGAAAAAACAAAACACTAGATTCAATGGAGGGCGGGGAAGTAGTACAAATATCTACATTTTACAGGTAAAAACCACAAATTAAGTCCCACTTCTAGTATAGAACTGAACCAGCATATATTCAGATTGTGTTTCCCAAAAGGCCGCTTTTTGACAGGCCTTTAGTCAACGACTGGTGTCGACATGCCTTAAAACTGGAAAACTAAACTGGATGATCTGAATAAAGACAGAATTAGAGGGTTTCAACCTCAAACATTAAAATATAGTAAAAATAAAATTTTCCTAAAGAAGTCTCTAGTTTAACAGATACTTTTCAGTTTCCTCATAAACACACATCCTCAAAATTATGAAAGCTCTTTTTTTACAGGCAACATTTCTTACTTTTGAAACTAAAAATTAGTATTACTGATAGTTTAAAATCTCATTGTACCATATGTGGTTGTCTGTGCTTAATGCTTCAATTTGATTTTCCAGACAGATTATCAAATCTAATGATTACTTATTTAAGACTGGTACACTGAGTTTAGGCTACTAAACTGGTGACGCAACTGCCAGGCTCAAAGTCTTCCTTTATCAGCTCTCTTAAAAAAAAAAAAAAAAAATTCTCCTTCAGCTTTGATCTTGCACAAGTTTTTACACCCTTATTAAAAAAAAAAAAAAGTTTAATGTTAAATTTAATGCAGTTCTATCATGTCTTTGGTGACTTTATAGTGATTTATAAACAATTAGGTAGATGGCCTATTTTTTGTGAATTTGATAAAATAATAGCTACAGTAAAACCTTAAAAAATAAAGTTATTTTTTTTTATTTGAACCAGTCAGGTGTGTTTAATTCTCTAAAGGAAAAGTTGAAACCAAGTGCAGCACTAATAGTAAATCTCAGAAGCTTGAAGAAAAAAGGGGTGGAATAATTATGTGGCATTAATATTACAAAATAAACACAATTAAGATGTAAAATGACGAAATGTTAAAGTTGTATGTTTTCCAACTGGTTTTAAACAAAAACAGTAGTTTTTTTCTGCCTGTCATTCATAAAAGATCTGTGCTATGGTGTGGATACTCACAGCCTGTGGTACTATAGGAAGGAGCAGACCTTCTGCGGTCTGAACGGGTTGTTGCTGGAGGACATGCCGGTGAGCAGAGGGTCCTGCTGGGCGTTCTGAAGGCAAAACTGCTGGAGGTCTGCAGCGGCCTGAGACACCTACAGGAATAAGACCAAACGTTGAAAAAAAGTAATCAAAAAAACATGTTTCTATTATACCAATAGCACATGTATTACAGCTCAGACTATTTCGACAAACTGAAACACACCGAACAATGAAGATAACACGCCCAAGCACAGCCTTATTGTCTAAAACTTACCTTTACTCTATGTATACCCGCTTCAAAACGCAGCTGTTGAACAACTTTTTTCATAGCGACGATGTTTGCTGGTCCCGGCATTTTACTGCGACCTGATAAGGCTTAAAAAGTCAAATAAGAACTGTCTATGACTTCACCGGAGCCAGTTAACTTTTTTAGCTACCAAGCTAGCCCTTTTCCTCGGGAATAAACTTCCGTTTTTTTTTTCGTTTTTTTTTTTTTAAAGGCGTGCCTGCTTGTGATGCATTCAGGTACTATTCGGAAATTTGAAATATTTTAGATCTAGTTTGCTCGTGTCTAAATTTTCACATCTATGTACATATGGATAAATATGAAATATAATGTGCATGTATTTAAAAAACTGAACAGAAAAAGGTTCTGTATTGATGCCCCAAAGCAGTTCTGCTATGAAACAGAACAACAATTTTGAGAACGCTGGTAAGAAAGTTGCATTAACGGATTTTTTAACTAATCAAAAAAAGTGTATATAATATATATATTTGTATATATGTAACACTCCTTCTGATCCACGTTCACTCCCTCCGTACAGTTTTTTTTATTATAAATATCCGTTAATATATACATG